TAAAAAACAAAATAGAAATCGTTTCAGAAATCGCATAAAAGATGAAAGGACTGATGATAATTCCGAAACAATTGAACAATTAGGCGAAAAGTACAACACTTGGGTACCACCTAAGAATCAAACCGGAGATGGTCGAACAGAATTGAATGATAAATTTGGTTATTAGTAATAGGATAGAATATTGTATTTTTTTATGATTGGATGTATGTATATATTTGTTTTAATTAAATAGTTTTGTATAAAAGTATTAATTGTTGTTTATAATTACAAATTTCTGCTAGATTTGCTAACATTATGTTCTGAACCTTTTGACTTTTTTGAAATTTCTTATTTAAATTAGGAATAGATACTTAAATATTATTTTTTTACATATTAGAAGTGTAAAGGATAAAATTTAAGCTCCAGATTAATTAATTAAACTAGTAGGGCGCATGGCATCGTGCCTTAAGGCAAATTGCTGGAGCTTCCCGTACCAATTTTTTTTTTTTAAAAAAGATTACCATTTTTTGATAAAAAATTACTCTGAAAAAATTAGATTTTTGAGAAAGTACAAATTTTTGACAAAATTTACTTTTTTTGGAAAGAAATAGAATAAATTTTTGAAGAAAAATTTATTTTGAAATATTTTGGAAATTCTGAACTTTTCTTTAAAGCAATCGTACTGCTTTAACTGCATAGAGACACAATATCGAAGCGCGTAAGCGCTGCGTCGCTGTCTAACGAATAAACATTGGTACGGAACCCATAGGTATGCAAACAAAATTTATACTTATTGTTAAAATCTCTATAAAATATCTGATAATTTGATGTGCATGTGTCTAATGGCATTTTTTTTTACTTTTTTATTAGATCTCCGAAACCGCTAGACCTGCCTTCATCAAAATTTGATCAGTTCTTCATCTTGTCAATACAAGTAAAATGTTTTTGGCACTTTTTGCCCAGTATCTTCGGAACGGCTAGACCTACCCCTCGCCAAAAATTAATCAGCACGTCTCCTTATCAATACGAATCGAATGTTTTTTAAATTATTCAAATTGCTTCATCCGTGTTCCCGAAATCATCGACGAAAATTATATCCGCACACACACACACATACATCCATTTTTTTAAGGTATGTCAAAATGTTCAGAAACCTCTGAAACGTAAAGATATATAAAAATTTTCATTTTCGATTTTTTTGCGATTGCTATAACTTACCGACGGGAAGTTAATAAAAAAAACAATTTTTCGGGTATATTTTTTTAATTTTTAACTTCTCGTAGGGAAAGTTATAAAAATCGCAAAAAACTCGAAAATAATACTTTTTATACATCTTTACGTTTCAAAGGTTTCTGAACCTTAACTTAAGAAACATGGATGTACGTGTGTGTGTGTGGATACAAATTTTTAAATTCTAAATGTTGCGACGTATCAAAAAAGGAAGGTCCAAAAATCCTTAAAAAATCGATTACGTGATTAATGAACGCCTCCTAAAATTTTTCGAACAAATTTTTCAAATTTACGAAAAAATCGTATTTTTTTTAAAAATCAGATAAAATAAATACACTAACTAGACCCTTCCTTATCCCACGTAATTTTTTTGTATATTTTTATCAAACCCTCCCTCTACCCCTAAAATTGAATTTTTTTGAACTAGATATTGTAAATAACGTTGTTTACAAATTAGGTGCTGAATTAATAATATTTATTATTAATTATTGTTTGTAATTTGAATGTTTAGAGATTTTGCGGATATGAATTTTATATATTTTAATTCCCAGATTAATTTAATAAAAACCTAAAACAAAAAATTAAATTTCCGAAGAAATTTATGCTTTTGCCAGAGATTTGCTAATTTTATGTTTTTTCGACGTTTCAACTCATTCTGAACTGTTTGATACCGAATTTGGAAAAAGTATTTATTTTTAACTCAATATTTAATTTTTATTCAACTTTTTTTACTTTATAACAGTTAGTAAGTTTGTCAAATAATTGTTTATTTTGAAAAAAAAGTTTCTTGTTGGTTATCGAGTTACTTAAGTCGGATATTTTTAGTTTGCTCGTCAGTAGAATCCTTCTATCCATTTATTGTTTTATTTAAGTTTTCTTCTTCCATAAATATTAAGTTCTATTAAATTAATAAATTTTTATCCATTAGTGAGTCCTCTCATATATTTTACAAATTAAATTATGCTACTGTTTTTTCCTTGAATTTTTAATAATTTTTGCTCGTCAGTAGAGTTCTTTTAATTTATTGCAAAGCGAAATATTTTACTGTATCTTTATTCGTCAGTAGAGTCCTTTTATCTATTCTATAATTTACTAGATTCTTCTTTAAGATTATTGGGATCAGTTTGCTCGTCAGTAAAGTCCTTTTAGATATTTTCATCTATGTTTTAGATATTATAAAAATGTAATACATTACTATCTATAGTGATTTCTTTGAATTGATTATCAGTAGATTCCTTTTATCTATTTCATATTGTAATACTTTACTATTTTTGCCTCAAAAAATTGATAATGACTGATTTGTTCGTCAGTAGAGTCCTTTTATTAATTACAAAGTATAATGTTATTTTGAATTATTCCTCAAGATCATTAAGATCAGTTTGTTCGTCAGTAGAGTCCTTTTAATTTATCAGAAATTATTATTTAATTTTGTTCAGAGCATTTGACTCGGCAGTAGAGTCCTTGTTTGAAATAAAAAGTACAATATTTTACTAGTAATTTTCTTTATGTAGTAGTAATGACTATTACAAAGAAAGTCGCCAATAATTATTTTTTTAATTACTAATTACCAATAGGGATTTATGGTATTCATAATTATTATTATATAAAGTAATTTATTATGTCGTCTAGATAACATAGTTTAGTTTAATTTAAAAAAATAATTATGTATGATGATGCATTTGTGCATAGAAAATCCTTGGCCTATAAAGATAACGATGCAATTTATCATACAACGACGGATATGTACTTATTTTTTTACATTATTAATTATGACATAGGCGAATACATTAAATAACTTATTTTAACGAACAAGTTAATAGTTTTATATAAAATATAAGAATAATAAAATATTTTAAAAGAGTTAAGATAAGGTAAAATGAAATTTACTAATGTAAATTACTTTTTTGTTCAGTTTTACGATAAAACCACGGTACCAGATAAAGTAAAAACAATTAAAATTAAAATTAAAGATAGATATTAAAATTTAAGGTTTTTTCTAAAATAAAAGTTACATCAAAATCGGTCCAGCAGTTTTGTAGATTAACCGAAACAACATACAGACAGACAAAATTTAAAAAAAGTTAAATTTCTGTACTCTATTGATATTCATATAAAATGTCTCAAAAATGGATATGTATAAAGATATTATAAGTATAATTATTGCGTAAAGATAATATTATCTTTTCGGGTTCACGCACCCAAAAGTATTTTGAACCTGAACCGAAATGTAAACAAATTTGTTTGTTTACACTTTTTACTAGAAGATAACTAGATTCTTATTTAATGACTTTGTTTTTTGGTGAACTTTCCTGATAAAACATAAAACTATCTCTGATATATATATATATATATATATATATATATATATATATATAAATGTATATATGTTCTAAATAGTTTTCCACCTACATAATAAGTCAGCCAAACAGTGAAAGCAAACAACAGGTCGTGGAAAAAATAGTGAAATAAAATAAATTACTTCTTAATTCGATATTGATACACTAGGTGTAAGTGGCATTTTGCCTTAAGGCAAATTAAATTTTTTTGAAGAGTGAATTACATAAACTTCACCCTGGCCTAAAACAAGAGAGAAATTAGTAAAAATCCATTGATGTAACAAATAAGAGACTCTACTGACAATGAAGTATGTTTTCGACTTCAGGAAGAAACTAATTAAAAAAATTGCTAAAAAAAAGAAGACTGGTATGGTGAGATAACCAAAGAACAACCTTATTATCAACTAGTCTTCACAAATTAAATTTAATACTGCTCAATTTTTAAACCAGATTAAAAGACTCTACTGACGAGCAAGCTGATCAGCGACTTCAAGAATAAATTAGTCAAATATTGCAATTGTGGCAAAATAGAATTCCACCAATCAGAGAACAAATTAGTCAAATATTGCAATTGTGGCAAAATAGAATTCCACCAATCAGAGAACAAATTAGTCAAATATTGCAATTGTGGCAAAATAGAATTCCACCAATCAGAGAACAAATTAGTCAAAAATTGCAATTGTGGCAAAATAGAATTCCACCAATCAGAGAACAAATTAGTCAAATATTTCAATCGTGGCAAAATAGAATTCCACCAATTAGAGAACAAATTAGTCAAATATTGCAATTGTGGCAAAATAGAATTCCACCAATCAGAGAACAAATTGGGCAAATATTGCAATTGTGGCAAAATAGAATTCCACCAATCAGAGAACAAATTAGTCAAAAATTGCAATTGTTTCAAAATAGAATTCGACCAGAGATCAAAGAAAAACAGAAAATAAACTGACCACCAAGAGGAAAACATCAGAGAGAATACTAGGAAATACTAGAATACTAAGAAAATGTGATAAAAATTACTCAGACAGTTTACAAAAGGCAAAGTAAAAGAACTGTAAATGTAATAATTTTTCAGAAACTATTTTCTCAAGTGGATCTACAACTGAAAATATTTTCCACCACTGTTTTTCATCGGATGATGTTTATTTCTGGACGCCCTACTCTGAAAATACAGACGACACAGCTCCAGATACAAAAACACTCCAGGATCACAAACCACACAAATCAGTCGAGGAAATAATAATAAAAGTCGAAAAAAATAATTAATAATTAAAATAAATAATTAAATAAATTAGAACGCGACAGTTCAATCCATCCATGGTACAATTTCGGATAAATTAATAATCTGTGTCCACAAGTTTAAAATTTAAAGTACTTCTAAAAATATTATAAAATATTAATATCCTAATTATTGTGTATTATTACTAATTAATTAATCAAACTATTAAATCCAAAATGTCTTCAACAAGATTGTTCTTGTTTGCATTAATGGCGATTTGTATTTTGCATACAGGTAAGTTTTAATAATATATAATAATAAATTTTTATTAAAATTATTGTTATGAAAATAATATCAAAAAATGAGTTTGATGGCTGCGTACAAACTTTCATAAAAAATTGTATCAGTCATCATTGTATAGTGTCAGTTATGTGATAACCATAGTATTAGGTTGTCAAATATCTCCCTTCCGCTTTTTTGCTCTTGGTTTATAATACAAAAAGGCGGAAGGGAGATATTTGACAACCTTATATTATTTTGGATTTAATTTTTGGATTTTTAAAGATTTTTTAAAATAAGTTATTGCACCAAGAAAATATGCACTAATAAAACATCCAAATTGCAAGGCCTTCCTATAATGATCTACATCTTGAAGTGCATTTTTATTTTATTTTTTTGAGAGTGTGATTAAAAATTTACTAGATTTACTATTTGATGTTATACTAAGCAAATTGATTAAAATAATATCCAAATGGCAACTATGTAGTACAAACGGTTACATCCTTAAGTCCATTATCATAATTTTTGTGATTAAAAATTTATTAGTTTTACTATTTGACGTTATACCAGGCATATTGATTGATAAAATATCTAAAAAATTACAATTGTGTAGTACAAACGGTTTGTGTTCTATAGACCTTAGAAAAACTACAACCTTAAAAAAATATATATTTAAAAATCTCATATACTCGTATAGATTTTTAAAAATTTTTGTAGTTTATCTTCAGATGTGGAACTTCAAAGATCTTTGAATATTCATCTAGATTCTAAAAAAACTTTTAAATTTTCTATATATTAAAGATCTTTGAGGATCAGCGTAGATCTTTGAGAATCAGTGTAGATCTTTGAAAATAATCTGTTATTTTCTTAAACTTTTAGACCAAATGTTTTTTGGTTTTATTACTTGTTGGTAAATCAAACACGTTGTCTGATAAAATATCCAAATTAGATGGCATTCTGAAAAAGAGGATTATCACCATACTCCTTAACGTATTGTCCTTAAACATTATTTTATTCTTTTCTTGAGTTGAGTTTTTCTGATTAGAACTTCATCAATTTTAGTAGCTGATGAAATATCCTAATTATAACACTTAAAAATTCAAAACAAGTTTTGTACTAAGAGGACGATCACCAGATACGTCAATGTATTATTCCACAGTGCAAAAGTCTACTTTAATCGTTTTAAAAGTCTCCAGTTAAAAATTGATCAGCATTAGTATTTGTTGAATACAATTGTCTAACTTGAAGTGTTAAAAATGGGTACGAAAAACCAGTCTATTGTTATTGTACATTTTAGAAATTCCAAAACCCTTTGAGCTACTCTTTAAAATTTGTTCCAACAATATTAGTTAGGGATCCAAGAGTTGTCCCTTTATAGTTCTGCGATTGGTGATATTGAAGTTAATATAATTCTACTTATTTCAGGATCAACCCTAAAATGCTACGACGTGAACTACAGAGTCCTGCACTGTCCGATGAGAGAAGGATACACTTTTGGATGTCTTTCAGCATCTATTTCCAATGGTAAGAATTATTTGTACTTTCTCTGAATATCATTAGTCCTCTCTCAAAATCATTTGTACTTGTACTAAATTACTTGTTCTTCCTCTGAATTACTTGTATTTCTTCTGAATCAGAAAAGGCATCCTTTTGAATCTCTTGTACTTCCTCTGAATAAGTTGAAATCCCTTTGAATCACTTGTACATCTTGTAAATCATTTGTACTTCTACTAAATAATTTGTTCTTCCTCTAAATCATCAGTCCTCCCTTTAGTCTTTGCTCTGAATCATTAGTCCTTCATCTAAATCAAAAGTCTTTCTAAATCAAAAAAGTCTTCTTTTTGAATCTCTTGTACTTTCTCTGAATCAGTTGTAATTATGTACTTGAATCACTTGTACATCTTCTAAATCATTTGCACTTCTACTAAATCATTTGTACTAGTGTTTTTACAAAAACCGACATTTTGGAAAACCGGTTTTCGAATTTTAATTTTACTAAAAAAACGGTTTTAACCGGTTTTCGAATTTTATATAGAAAATACATTTTTGCTCGAATATTATGTAATTTATCCTCAAATTTAGTGTAATTTAGAGCAGTATTTGACTGAATTTATTTATTGTTCAATTTTATAGATAATAAACAAAATTATTTAAATTTTAATTAGTAGAACTAAAAAATAATAGTTTATCTTGATTAAATAATATTGAAAATAAGTATTCGTTATTCATGCATCATGCGTTCACATATAAGAATGAAAATATTTTATTTATTTAAATAAATTTAGTTAAATATTTTTTATTTGAAATAGATAGTGAAAGGAAAGTTTTCGAATAAATAAAAATAATATATTTTTAAATAAAAAAAATGCATCAAATTAAAAAAAAAATTAGATACATGTTGATACATACTTGTTAATATCAATTTTAGTTTTAAAAACATTTAAAAGCTAAACTCGGGTATTGTCTGTTCCGAGCAATTTTAATAAATTAATTTTAAACATTCTAATTGTTTTTTTTTTGTTTAATAAAATATGATTTCGAAAAACTGAGAACGTCTATCGAATTGCTACTTAGACGTGAACTTTGTTTACTCACAAAATTTCCTGAAATAGAAAATACTCTCATACTTGCGACCAAATTATGCTTAATTGTTTTTAAAGCCTGATATAATAATAAATAAGTTTTTTAACTTCCCGTAGGGTAAGTTATTGTAATGGGCCGAAAATCGGAATTGAAAATTTTTACATTTCTCGACGTTTTGAAGGTTTCTGAACATTTTGGCATACCTCAGAAAAAATGGACGTGTATGTGTCTGTGTGTATGTATGGATACAAATTTTCGCCCACGTTTTCGGGCGTACGGATCAACCGATTTGAATGGTTCTAAAAACATTCTATTGCTATTGATAGGGAAAAGAGCTGATTAGTTTTTGGCAAAGGCAGGTCCAGCCGTTTCGGAGATACGGAGCAAAGAGTGCAGAAAATAGAAATCGAGTTTTTGAGAGATCGGAGTATCCGATTTGAATGATCTGAAAAACATTCAATTAGTAATGATTGGGAGAAGTGTTTATTAGTTTTTGGCAAAGGCAGGTCCAGCCATTTCGAAGATACGGAGCTAAATATGTAAAAAATGGCAATTTTTGAGAGAACTAAGCGTCCGATTTAAATGATTCAAAGAACTTTCTGCTTGTCTTAACAAAATAATTGATTTTGGAAAAGAAAATTTTGTTCCAATTTTTTTTTTTTTTTAGTTTTTTGTATATCAAAAATATTTCAGATTTTATTTTTAATTCTGACTATAGTTCTAATATACTTTAAACAAATAATTTCAACTCTGCAATTCAGTTTATATAATTCTTATAAATATTAGACAATGTTACAATATTTATAATAATCTATTTGAAAACATTCAGTATTCCACGAACATTTCGTTACGGTACGGAAAGTTCCAGCAATTTGCCTTAAGGCACGATGCCATAATTGCCTCAAGACAGAATTCCACTTACAGCTAGTTGTTTTTTAATTTGTGGCTTCTAGGGTTTAAAACTCTTTTTTTTAAGTTTGAGTAGAAGAAGTTACTTCTTCAAGAAGAAGTCACACTGATTTTTAATTAATATATACACTGGTATAAAAATTTAAATTAGTATAGACAAAACGTTTCTGGAAACCATTGCAGACTGATAAGATATCAAATGCTATTGAACCGATATGATTGCAAGAATCAAAACGCTTTCATCTATCTTTTATATTTGGCTATATTTGTCATTTTTCATTTATACAGTAAAAACCGACTTTTTTCACTAAAAAAAACGGTATTCGAATTCTATAATTTTCGCCAAAAAACCGGTTTTTGAACGCCGACAAACCCTAATTTGTACCTCTTCTAAATAATTTGTTCTTCCTTTAAATCATCAGTCCTTTTATTGAATTCCTAGTTCGTTTTTTTCGATCCTTTCTCTTTTTCTGAATGTTGTCAATTACCATCTACTAATTTATTTTTTTCTCTAGGTGACGATACCAGAACAGTAATGAACTGTTACCCGGGAAGATGTCACGATTACGGCGAATCCGTCCGAATGGCCGGCCTGAGATTGGATTCATGTTCAGTCTGTTTTGGAGATCTCTGCAATGCAGATTTGGAGAAAATGCGAGAGTTGGAGATCGAAAGGGAGAGGGAAATCGAGATCCGGGGAAGGGAACGAAGAGAGAAAAATAATTAGACTAATTAACTAAAAGACTAACTATTTAAGTTAAGGAGTCAGAATTATGTTTTAATTTAAGTCCCTTAATTTCCAATGTAATTTTAAAATTTTCATACGTCCATGTACAAGTGTATTCTTTTTCAATTTTCTCAAGATTAAGATTTGTAGGATATTTGTAGGTCCCAATGTAACTACTCAAAATTTTGTATAGATTTTCATAGAAAATAGTATAAATTTTGAAAGAATAATTTAGATCTTTACCAATATTTAAAGATTCCAACTTATAATATACTCGTACACACACTTATATAATAGAAATCTATACAAATATTTAAAAACAGAGGAATTGTTTAGTTTTCCATATATGTTCTAATGTATTTTTAAAATTTTTCATACGTCCATGTATAGTGTCTTTCTTTTTCAATTTTCTCAAGATCTTGCATATCCATATGTATTTTGTCAAAATTTTGTATAGATTTCCAAAAATTTAGAATAGATTTTGAAAGAATATTGTAAATCTTTAAGGATCTTTGAAGATATTTAAAAACTCAGGATTTACACATATCTATTTGAAAATTTTTGAGATTTAGCATAGATTTTAAAAGATCGGTAAAGATATTTGATGATTCAGTTAGATTTCAGAAGACTTTCAAATTTTCACTCAGAGTAAACATTTCATTTTGAAGATCTTTGATGATTGATGTAGATCTTTAATGATCTCTGCATATATCTTTACTTATATTTGAAGATTCATCTAGATTTTTAAAATCTTTAAAATTTTCACTAATTGTCAGAGTAAACATTTTTTTAAAGATCTTTAAGGATTTTTGCAGATCTTTAATGATCTTTGCAAATATCTTAACAAATACTTGATGATTTATTTAAATTTTTGAAAACTTTAAAATTTCCACTCAGAGTAAACAACTTATTTTGAGGATCTTTGAGGATTCATGTAAATCTTAAATGATCTTTGCAAATATCTTTACCAATATTTGACGATTCGTCTAGGTTTTAGAAAATTTCATATTTCCACTCAGAGTAAACATTTCGTTTTAAAGATCTTTGAGATTTCATGTAGGTCTTTGATGATCTTTGCATATATCTTTCAGATATTTGATGATTTATTTAGATTTCTGAAAACTTTAAAATTTTCACTCAGAGTAAACATTTCTTTTTGAAGATCTTTAAGGATTTATGTAGATCTTTAATGATCTTTGCAAATATCTTTACATATAATTGATGATTTATCTAGATTTCTGAAAACTCTCACATTTCCACTCTCAGTAAACATTTCTTGTCAAAGATCTTGAAGATTTATGTAGATCTTTAATGATCTTTGCATATATCTTTATAGATATTTGACGATTCGTCTTGAGTTTTTGAAAACTTTTAAATTTCCACTCACGATAAACATTTCTTTCTAAAGATCTTTGAGTATTCATGTAAATCTTTAATGATCTAGATCAGGCATCGGCAAGCTACGGCACGCGTGCCAGGCTTGGCACGCGATGGGGTTCTAAATGGCACTCTATAAAGTAATCAGGAAAATCGCAAATATTGAGTGATTTTTAAATTAGAGAAAATGTTTAATTATAATTATTTTTCTAACGTAGCTCGCTAATGTAATTCAACCTACGTTGAAGTACTTAAAGATGAATTTTCTAGAAGATGCAAAAACTTTGAAGCTTATGTGCCTATATTTTGAAGGAATTACAAAAAAATCTGGAAGATGACTCTATGGAAAAATCGACAGCCATATTAAATTGTTGAATGACATTGCCGGAAAAGATTTAATTGTTTAAAGAAAATTGTATGCGCTCTTCTTTCAACTTTTGATTCCACATAATTCTGTAAACAATTTTTTTCTCACATGAAACATATTTTGAGTTCACAAAGAAATCGTTTAACAACTAAACATTCAGTATCTTGTGTGAAATTAAAAGTTACAAATTATACCCCGGATATTGAAATGTTAAGGTAAAATGTGCAGGCACAAGGTTCGCATTAAAGTTGTTTAGTTTATATTCAGTGACGGATTAAGCTTTCTGTCGCCCTAGGCCCTATCTGATCAGGCGCCCTTTTTAATAGACAATTTTTTACTTTTTTAATTAAACTATAATTTTATTCTAAATTACTTAAATACAACTTTTAACTTTGCGTAAAGTACTCGTAAGTTTTAGTAATCGCAAAAGATCGAAAATAAAAATTTTTGCATATTTTTCAGACATTTCTAAACATTTTGGCATGCCTTAAAAGAAATTGATGTGTGTGTATGTATGTATGTTACATTCTCATAGATAAGAAAGTTCTGATTTCGCTAAGACAGGTTTAGCCGTTTGGAAAATACAGAACAAAAGTGTAAAAATTGCAATTCAGTTTTTGAAAGAACCAAGAGGCTGTTTCCAAATAATTAAAAAAAAATTTGCTTGTACTAAAGGAATGAATAATTACCTAAATTTTTGGGAAGGCAGGTTTAACGGTCGACCAAGCTTTTTTTTGTAATTAGTAAAAGAGAGAAAAAATTCGTCGAAGTTTTAGCCCACAATTTTAAGTCGATTTTAAAAATTCAAAAACCATTCAAAAAATTTTGGTTCGAAATCCGGACTGATTAGATTTGCGGGACGATCGGATGGGCCGGTTGTTAGAAATTAACATAAAAAAGCAAAAATATTACGTTTCTGGAATAAAGCCAGAAACCGATTTTTAAAATTGAAAAAAGATTTCTGAAAGATATCAATTAGGAGTCAAAATATTTGACAATTTTAAAAATTCATCAAAGTTTGATAAAACTTCAAACTCAAAATTTGTGTTAAAAGGCGCTTTTGTGATGTGATAAATCAAAATTTAATTTTCAAAAACGCCTGAACTGATTTCACAAATTAAAAAGACATTGGACTAAACTCGATAAATAGAACCGAGATATTCAGAAATTTCGAGTTTTTTTTTTAAATTCTAAAATAATTCGATAATTTGAAAATTTTAGATATTTTAATTTTCTCAAAATTTTGAAACCAGTGGACTTGCCTTTTCGGAAAACTAATCATTTCTTCATATCACTAAAATACCACGAACAAAATATTTTTTGAGTCATTCCAATCGAATGATCTGTACTCTCAAAACCTTTATGACCACTTTTGCACCTTCTGCGCTCTGTATCTCTAAAAATGCTAAACCTGCCTGCATAAACAGTACGCCTCTCAATCAAAGCCAAGCGAATATTTTTTGAATCATTCATGGCGATTGATCCTTGCAAAGGACATTTAAACTATCTAAGAAGTAAACTTTGAAAATTAAAAATCTCGGTACGTAATAAATCAAAATAATGAAGACAAAATTTGTAATAATTAATAATTTTTTTTATAACAAATCTAATAATTTGATGTCAATGATCATTTTTTATCACCAAATGACACCTTTTTGGGTCACCAAAAACGCTGACCATGCTCTCGCAAAATTTTCGATAGTTCTTATTTCGTCATACAAGTAAAAAGTGTCTTGAATTATTCAAATCGGACGCTTCGTTTTTGAAAAATTGAATTAGCATTTTTTTCACTCTTTGCTCCCTATTCCGAGATGGGTGGAACTGTCTTTGCAAAAAACTAATCAGCACGTCTTCCCGAATGCCAATTGGCAAAAAATTGTAACCGCATAAACACATGCATACATTCATTTTTTCTAAGGCATGTCAAAATGTTCAGGAGAACTTGAAGCGTAGAGATATATAAACAATTTTATTTACGATTTTTTAGGATTATTATAACTTAGCCTTCCTGAAGTTGATAATATGATACATCAAGAAAATATCAATGCGGCGCACCCACGAATAATAAATTGATTAGAAAACGCATTACGTTCTATTTCATCGAAAATGATCTCTAAATTTACAAAAAAAAAAATCAGGATCTATCCTTAAAATGAATTGTGTCATTTCATCGAGTTTAAAATTTTTACATTTTGAAAAATTTGCCGCCCCCTAAATTATGCCGCCCTAGGCCCGGGTCTCACGGGCCTTTGGGGTAATCGGGCACTGTTTATATTAGAAATTCATGTTATTTGTTAATAAATATGTTTAAAAGATAAATTTGGTTATAATTCTTCTCCCCTAGAACCTAACTATATATTTCAAAATTAAGGCGGCACTCTAAAACATATTGGTAGAGTGGCTTGGCACACTACAGTTAAAAGCTTGCCGACCCCTGATCTAGATGATTCATCTAGATTTCTGTAAACTTTTAAATTTTCGGTCACGTTAAACATTTCTTTTTAATGATCTTTGAGAATGTATGTAGATGTTTAATAATTTCCACTCACGGTAAACATTTCATTTTAATGATCTTTAAGGATTCATGCAGATATTAAATGATCTATGCAAATATCTTTACAGATATTCGAAGATTTGTCTAGGTTTTTGATATTTTATAAGTTTACAGTTTCTTTTCTTTCAACATTTCTTTTTAAAGATCTTTGAGGGTTCATGTAGATCTTTAACGATCTATGAGAATGCGAGTAGATCTTCAGTGATCTTTGAGGTTTCATGTAGATCTTTACAAAATTTAAAGTTAATTGGAGAAGACTAAAGATTATATTTAGAGGTATTTAAAGATTCATCCAGATTTTCATTAACTTATGAAAATTCACAAACATTTTTAAATATCTTTAAATATTTTTGTAGATCTTTGAAGATCTTGAAGAAATCGTATAGATTTTTATTTGGATTTAAAAAAAAATGAATTCGCATAAAAATCTTTGAAGATCTTCGAGGATTCATATAGATCTTAAATGAGCTTCCAGTATTAATGTAGATTTTTAATGATCAATGAGGGTTTGTGTAGATCTTTAAAGATTTTTACATATTTGGAAAGTTTTGAAAAAAATCTTATCCTATAAATTGTAGTATAGATCTTATAGGTCCAGAGAGATCTGAATAAGTTTTTAAAGATATTTGATAAATTTTGAACAAATTCCAAACGTCTTCTAGTTTAATTCGGGTTTGACTTTGCTCTTTGCTCTTTTAAAAT